TGGCCTATTTGGGTTAATTCTAGGATTGTGTTTATCATGTCATATAAACTGTATTCGCTGGAGAGTGCCTCGTTTTGGCGATATCTATGGATAAATCTTGTTTCTTTATTTTTATTTTTTTAAATTCTTGCTTACAAATGCGTGCAAAATTTGTGCTCAAGTGTGGACGAAAATCTTCTCCACATTTCTTCACAAAACTCAAATCCTCATTTGTGTGTTTCTGTCTGGTAATGTGACAGCATGCATTGGAGACTTACGAGGTCCAACTCAGTAGAAGAGAAGTCAAAAGTAAATACTGTCTCAGAATAAAAGAAAGAAAGTGGAAACACACTGTGACTTACCGAACAGCAGACATCTTTCTCCTCTATGTGTGCTGCCTTTAGCTCCTCACCTTTACCCACAGAGATCAAATAAAGATAAAAACAGTTTTGTTTTCTCAAGTTGACCCATTTCTGTACTTCCCGGTTCTGCAGTCAGACCCTGTTTGGAGATAAGGCAGTCACACCTTGACCTGTTGAACACGGATGTCCTGATGGTGCCTTCAAGTACCGTCAGAAATGCGCAAATGATCTGAATAACAATTGAAGTGAATGTTTAACAACATAAAACATCTTTTTCCAGGGAATCTGCAGAGGTTTATCATGTGATTGCAATGAACAAGAAGAAGAAGAAAAGAATACCCATCACTAAATTTCACAAGTTCTGTTATGTTTTTGAAGTACAGAGGCCAGTTGGAAACCCCCGTATACTACATATGTACTTTAGTTCTCCATTTTACAGTCCATGTTAGTTGTCAGTGTGACCACAGAAGAGATGCTGAGTTGTATTTGAGGGAGAAAGAGTTCACCCATAGGCAAGACTTTCATAGTTTATTTATGATTCTTTCAATACAAATATAACTCAGTTTCTCTGCTACAAAAACATAATTCACTCTACTTCACAGCAAACATCTGTTTAGTTTACAATTAATGACCTGATCTACTTTGGCTTAAACATACATGACATTTTTCTCAAATTATATGTTAATAAGACAGTAATCACAACAGAATTACCACATTAAGGTTATATGTCATATTTTTTCATATCAGCTGAAGTATATGTTCCATAATGATGTCTGTGATTAATTATGTTCTGAAGCAAGTTTGATAAAAGCTTCAATAA